TCCAACTGTTCCACATTGAATGCCGGTTTGAGAGTGGCATTTTGCGCCGCGTCGTCACCACCGGCTGCGTTCGGTACTGCGTGACGGTCCTGTATGCTTTCCACCTCGCTTGCACAGTGAATGGGATGTTTTGGTTTGACCAGGTGTTGATCGCTGAACACATCATGCAACAGCCGAGGCCAGTGGACGGAATGTCTCTTGTTCAGATGAACCTCCAGACTTTAATTGGAGAGGAAAAAACCGAAGGCAGATCAAAGTTATTATCACTGTTTTGCGGTGATGGTGGCGAAATGGTTTAGTCACTGTAACCGGCATACTTTGAACCCTCTGGTTCGAGCCCCCCCCCCCCCCNCTCCCGTTCAGTTCTGCCTTATGGTTGCGAGACCTGGAATTTGAGAGTAGAGGATATCCATCGACTAGAAGCTTTCGATTATCGGTGTTTACGCAGTTAAGCCCACGTGGGATAGAATGAACGGGTTAGTAATATGGAGGCAAGAGTATTGTGTTTGGGAGTCTGTCAGGGATAAACTTGCTAGCACACTGAATTCATCCTAGTACACTTCGCTGATTAGGACACGTATTGCGTATGTCCAGCTGTCGTCTACCCTACCGTGCTTTATTCGCTGTAACCGCTCCGGGTTGGAGGAAACCATGTGGAGGTCAGCAGATGACGTGGAGACGAGGCATGAAGAAATGCACAGAGCCATTAGGTAGAGTACGTGTCTCTCGCCTTCCTGGTTGAGGTCCGAAAGACCCTTGTCTTGTTCCCACAACGGTCAAGTCTTAGAACTACACAATAGTACCGGCCAGGTAGGAGCAGAATACAATCGACTCTTTGAGAAAAAAACGAAAACTGCGACGGCGTAGGAGGTGTCTCAACTAAGCAAATGCTAACCAAGCCTTCGGTGTGGTTGCCAGCAATAAATCCGTGATGCGTCCGCCAGGTAAGATGTAGCTGATCAAGTAGCCAAATCTATCTACTCTCTCTTACTCTCTGTTCAAAGTCAGTTTTATTATGGGAATTACTCACAAGCTCATACTTCTCTTGTCTCCATAGGATATTTACACAGTTGAATTGTTTCTCAGCGAAAAAAATCACGTAGAGTACCCAGTAGGAGATAACAGATAATGTAGTCTTCAACGACTTTGTGTTTCGAAGAAGCATGAAATGAGTCATTTGAACAAAAAGTTGGACAAGTGAGTCGAGTGATTTGTGTTTGGTTACGGGTTGAGGTCAAGTAAGATTAGAAAATTTGATACGGGGTGAACTGGACCAAACGATGTGGTGAACTAGAGAGGGGGAGGGAAGGTCATATCACGTCATGCTATGGCAGGGTGGTATCAAGTGTGATGTGTGATGAATTTGTGTTTGTTTTTAGTGGTGTAGGAATGTGAGATGTAACAAGGTTTCATCGAGTCTCCGTTTGAAAGATTCAATAGTTGGTGCACAAACGACGTGAGATGGAAGAGTGTTCCAAGTACTGGATTATCTGACTGCAAAAGATTGGCGCTGGCATTCCAGTCAACACCTTGGAATCAGTAACTTGAAACGGTGTCCCCTAAGATGTACATTGTTCGGTAACATGAGCAACAGCCGACATGGATAGTTTGGGTTCTGTAGTATTTGATACGTCAAAATCAAGTCACTCCGAATGCGGCGGTACTGAGCAGAATATAGCCCCAATGATAGTAATCTCTCCTCATAGGCGAGTTAATGCCATCCCTTGACCATCCTTTGTGGACGCTTCAGCTTCTTATGATTACAATGCCTAACAGATTCCCATCACAGCCTATAGAACTGAGTTTGTTCTTATGATTACGTTGGAATCATGGACTCCAAGCTTAGGTGGCGTACTCTGTGTACGGTCGAATGTAGATTGATAGCAAACGTAGGAACAGTGCTGATTTAAACCAGCCAAAGACTCACCTAGGCAAGCCAACATTTTTCACAGCAGCGGACGAAGGCTTGGCGCAATTGATCGAGCAGCTTTAGTCCTCTTGAACAATTATACCTAAGTCCTTTTCACTTGAGGTATGTGGCAGCTTCTGATTTCCGAAGAAATACGAGAATCTACTCCTGTGGAGTGGGGATAGGACTTTGCACTTTGAATTCACTGTCATTCTTCTTAGACCAGTGATAAACTGCGTTAGGTGTTTCTTGAATTGTCAGACAGCCTCCAGGTTCGGTTACCGATGTTGGCGTGGTCTGAAAACAGTATTGTTTTGGGACCTAACACATTTGGTAGACCATTTATGAATGCGGGGAAAAGACAAAGAATTACAGATCCTTGTGGAACACCGCGGGTGACGTTGACAGATCCGGATAACGTCACCCGCGGTGTTCCGCAAGGGCATGTACTCTTTCCTCGTCTTTTTCTCGCATTAATAAATGGTCAAAGGGGAATGACATTGAATTCAATGTTTCCAAATGCAAAGTCCTAGCCCTACGCCACAAGAGAACATTTTCGTATTTCCTCGAGGATCAGCAGCTATCCTAGTTCGTGTGAGGTTTTGATCTAGACCAAACCAATCCTATGACAACACTTTACACCTTGCTGGTGCGAAACACATAGCGGACATGGCCACACTCACGCCCAAAACGATCTAGAAAAGCCTGCAACTTGTCTGACTCTTCACTCAATGGTATAATATCGTCTTCGTACAATAAAAATCAGATAATCTGTCACTAGGAGCACATCGATGACATTCTTTGCGAACGAGCACAAAGTTGGAGAAAACAAGAAAGGGCATCCCCGACGAATAACAATCTGCGTGGTGAGCTCGGGTGAGAAAGAACCGTAAGTTCGATCTCGGCTTCGGTTATCAGTATAAAGGGATCTCAACAGAGAAGTTAATTTCCCGGGTACATCTTACCAGAAAAGTCAGCGCCAGGGTACCGAGGAATTGGTTGAGCTGAAAGCCGCTTTGCGATCAAACATAGAGTTGATGGGTCTACAAAAAGACAGTTTGTGTTTGAGAAGTGAATGCTAATCAAGTTAATTCCCCCATCCCCACCCCCTCTCCTGTATAACAGCCGATTCATGCCATTTTTTCGGAGTTTATTCCAAAGTGACACAGTAGAACATAATTCATAAAAAACTTTGAATCTACAAGACTGCACAAGACAAACAATCAAGCCCCAAAGTGTATTGCTTCCGAGGAAAAGATAAACTGTGTCCAATCAATCAAACACTTGGTAGATTTCAATGCTCCGTGGTTGGTTTCGCATATATTGAGACAATTTCGTGCAAAAATCACCACTGAAGGCGGTCAAAGGGTCGCTCGGATCGGACAGAACAATGCCTTCTATCTGTGCGCACGTGGAATAGTCAGAAATACTGCCAACTGATGAACAGCAACACATGCAGAATGGCCGGATCGAACTGTTATGAAAGTACTTTTTAGTTTACAAAGTGAACCACTTACACATGAGTTTCACGATCGATCGACCACACAGCATCCCCCTCGACTAGATCGTACAGCGTCTGATCCAGTAACACGGTACAAGCCTCGGTCACATGGTTTGTATCTGTCTCACCGGGTGCTTTCAGTTCGACGCGGACAGACTGAAGC